TGGAAGATTGCTGTAGGATTTTTATTGCTTCGTGTATTTGAAGAGTTGTGAAGTCATTAAATCGGCGGTTTACTTTGGTGTTTTGTACTAGGTCCAAAATACCAAAGTAAACCACCGATTTAACGCAAGCAGCTCGTGGGTAATGTAATTCACTAGCGTAACATGAGCTGCATGTTCTCCGAGTGATTTACTACTTATAATGGTGCACACAGTAGTTAGACATGGTTCAAAGGGCAATAAAACAATAACATTTAATTATAAATGTACGTATACTGTTATGAACTTAGAGCTACTTGGGATGAACGAATGTAGTTCCCTGTTACAATTTAAAGTCATTATAGAAAGAAGAAAAGGGTAATTTAGGTTTACTTTGATTTTTTTTGGTGGTTAGAAGGTCGGTGAAATTGACTGATCTGGTTTTGAGATAGTGTAGAGAAAATAACAAATAAACTATAAAGTCTTTTAAAAAAAAATAGTTTGAAATGCATTTAAGAAGTTTTAGGGATTACACAAAGGAAATTTATGATATTTGAGGTGAGGAAACATATTTTTAGTTTTAAAATGAAAATTACTTTGCATGTGGACTAGTCAAAAAAGTACTCGGTATATTCACAGACAAATCTTTTTTATTTTATTAAAAATACTCCACTAAATTTATGATTTTTTTGTATGTGAAAGACTTAATGTTTACAGAAAGTCTGCCAAATTTTATTAAGATATACATAATATACTGAAAGTTAGAAGTATTAAATCTATAAAGACTAACTGAGTACAAAGAGGTCATGTGGTCAGTCAAATTGACCGAGCCCATATTGAGAGAGTTAATCGGTGCTTGAAAGCTGACTTTAGAAAGATATAGGAATTTTGGATGTCTACTAGCTAACACAATTTCACCAACATAGGATGTTAGCATTGTGCTTCCTATGTCAAGGTTACATAGTATTAAGAATGCATGGAACAGTGTGCCGCAGGCAGTAATTGTGAATGGATTCGTTAAGGCTAGAATTATTAGTTGACAAGAGAAGCCCCAGGAAGACTGAGATGTATGACAAGGAAAACATTCCACCTGGCATATCCCGACTTGACAGTTACCTTCCACTCGGATAAAGAAGATTAGGAATTTGAGGTTTTTCTGATGTTGAGTAACAATCTGTGTAATCAAATGTGTACTTGGTAATTAAAATCATACTTGAATAGTCTGTTTATTATGGCAATTAAATGCCTAGACAAATTCAAAGTTGTTAGAAGTTTGATTCTGTCTCTTGTTTGTTTTTTCAAGTATGTAATAAAAGAAATAAACAAATTTTAACTCATTATATTTCTATTTCATCTACTCCATTTTTTGGCTAACTTTTGCTAACTTCAAATTTCTGCACATTTTTCATCATATTTCTTCCACTGGCATACAATATACAATACAGTGGTAACATACTTGATCTACCCTCGTCTTATACTTCATATTGTTGTTTGAATAATAGTCAGGAAATAGTGTTCCAAGTTTTGATTTTCAAAATTTACCAGAAGAGCAGGCTTCTGGACCCTCTAGGGGTATTATGTCTAAAAGCACAATGTTGGGCCTTTGGCCTGAACTCTGCCACACATTGATAAGATTACCAGCCTATTTTAGCAGTATCACCCATCTACTCTTTAAAACATAATGAAAACCTTGGTCATCCAAAATAAGTAACAGGGGTAACTACAACTTGTGATTAGAGCTAGGTGATTAGTAGAACTTGCTAAATGATTCATCACCACACCCACTAACTGATGATACTTAAGTAATTTCCTATTTTTCAGCTTGTTCTAGTACACAATTTACGATTAAGTTAAACTTTTAATCCTAAACTGTTGCACATGAAACTGTATCATATATACAATGTAATATGAAACCTATAACACGTTGAAAATACAATTAATACTGTTCCATGGGTTTCTCCCTACAAATTTCCACAAGATTACTAAAACTACTGAATTTTTGTTGATGAAAACCAATATTACTTCATGACTAATAATGCTTGGAGACAGCTTGAATGGGTAATGAAGGAAAACTTTAATATAAGTTTAACATAACAGCAAATGTACAATGTTTTGAAATGTTGTACTCATCGAATTACTTCATGACATTGATTATAAATCAGAAAAATAATAAATGCAACAGTGACTAGTGAGATTACTATTAGATACAGGTTGACACTTAATTCTGAGGATCAAATTTATGATTTTATCATGGTGAGCAACCATATGGTGGTGAACAGAATGTGCAATCAAGAATGTTGATACTCAAGTGGCATCTTCACTGTATAAAGGTATAATATAATTGTCCATTGGATCAACACTTTTTGTGAAGCTTTACATGGTAATGTTTATTACAATTCTGAATGTACTATATATATATATAGTAATTTAATCGCAACTTTGATTAGTCAATAATTTTACACGACACTAAATAATATCAATTCAACCAGTTAATTGCCCAGCTATTTCCAAAACAATTTCTGTCTCCATAGTTCAAAAGATTAAAAGTCAAAGAAATAAAATGATTATCACAAGTATAGTGACTGTGCTTCATATCAATTTTTTTGTTCAGTTAAACTTTCATTATTCAAAATGACCTATCTAAGATTTAAAGTTATTTTAAATTGTAGTTTATGCTGAATTTATATTAATTATGTTAAACTATTAAATAATAATTATTTGATTCTTTCTGACATTAAATGTTACATTTACCTAAAGTATAACTGCAACTTCCTATGAAAAGTTTGTACAGTCTTCTGTACATGAAGTAATAAATAAAATATGTGTACTAACATTTTAAAGTGTTGAACTTATGTCTGTGCAATTTAAGTATACTATATGTGCTGGTGATTGGACCTATCACTACAAGCAGCAAAGGTCACAGGGATTGATGAGCCAGCAACTGAAAAATGTAATTTTGAATGTGTATATACATAGATATAATGAAAATATCCTTCAATATAAAGATATAATAAAAGTACATTTCCCTATGCCTAACACACATAAACCTAAACTGAACAGGCATTTGAATTTTTACAGTATAATTTATCACTACTTCATCATTACGGTATTCATTTCATATCTAATTTTTACTGTGCTGACATAACCTGTTGATAATAACATAACTATCAACTAACAAGCATTTCACTCCATAAATACAAGTTTGAATTGTTTTCCAATAAGAAATGTTCTTTAATTAAGATATAATGAATGAGATACTAACCTCAGTTGGCAATGGCATTAATTATAAAGTAGTAGGCCTGTGCATTATGAAAAAATACAGAAAGGGAGGATTTTTTTTGGCAAATTAATAGCAAATCACGAAGTTGAAAAAACATTTTTTTCCCCCTTCAAAATCCACAAGTTCAAACAAAAGGGCATGATTTGGTGAAAGACATTTTTGTTTTTCTCAATTGAACCAACAAATGATACAGAATCAAGCCCACCTGGTATAAAAAGAAATCAAGCAGGGTCAAGAAGGTTGTTGTATATGACAGCATATAATGAACATGTAAACTTGTCTTTCGGTGGTTTTTTTAATTTACCCCAAATATGTATGTCAAGACTGGAGTTACCCTCAGTACTGTACATGTAAGTAACGTAAGATAAAATATATACCACTGTAAAAACAGTGTAATCAGTGTACTACTTAAACAAGAAATTCTGAAAATTAAGAAAAATATGTCAAAGATAGAGTGGGCTCAGAACTGCTGGGTAAGCTCAGCTTTCAGAACTAAAATTTTTCTGTTTAGACTTTGAATACTGAAACACTAAAGAATAAAATTCAATACAAAATACTTTTTAAATCATTCTAGTTGTTAAAAATGATGCTATGAAAAAATGGTTCAAACACATATATACACAAAATATACATGTAATGGAATACATTATGTACGACTATATAATATTTCCTGAAATATTTCTATTTATATGATGTCAGTTTTTTAAACATTCAGATTATAATTACGTTCACTTCAGCAATGGTTATATCTATCAATACAAATTTTTATTTTGCCCACAAGATTTTAAATGCACTAACAATTGTTTTCCTTAAACTGATATATATTTTTCTGATAATGGTGTTTAGATGTCCAAGTAATTGGTCCATTAAGTGAAAGCATTTATTTTTTATGGAGGGAAAAAATCCACACTTAAAAAGTAAAGTGAATATGAATTCACCTACCTTCTCCATTTGTTGTATCTATAGCAACTCCTTTCTTAAGTTCTGAAATCCCCTTTTTATATAATTCAATTGCAAGTTCTTTATGTCCTATAAGACAAGAAAAATAGCATCTTAAAATAATTTTAAAAAGTAAGCAATTTCAAGATATCCATGTTTCTCCCAATGTATCCATTTTACATCCTTCAAACCAAATTCCTTCATTCAACTGTATATTCTAACCCTGAGTAATTGAGTGAAAATTTGTTCCTTGAAAATCATAAACATTACATTCTTTACATGCAACATGAAATTATTTCCTTGTACTGGACAAATCATATAGTTTCAAGGTATATCACCTCTTGTGGGAGAAACTATTTAACAGTATACAAAAAAATAAAATTACTGTCCAACTGAATATAAAATAAAATTGTAGCTGAATACAGAGAGATCTATGTGCAAGATAAAAATGTATTGATAACTGGATGTTTATATCTTCAAACTTATTATCAATGTGGCCAAGTCCTGAAGAATGTGGACATGGACAAAACATAAGTACAGTATTTATGGCCAAAACATTATAAGTGTAGTAATTTCAGACAAAACATAATAACACTAGTAATTTATTTTACCTTTACATAACTGCTATTCACAAGAGCTCAACATTCCTATAAAGAAACCTTTTCTATGATAATTGCTTTACAACATATTTTAACTAACTGTAGATTAACTACTACTTGAAAACATACATGTACTGTAAATTTCTTCAGTCAATTTATGTACTATTTATTTTTAGTCAGCATTATTTACACAAGTTCATATGCAATAAAAATTAAAAAGTCAGGCAATATGGGCCATGACTGCACACATGTATGCCAAGTAAGTTAACCAATATACGATTTCCCTCAAAAAACAATTTTACAGAAGAAAAAAAAAGAACATTCTGAATTTGAATATATAACAATCCTTGCCAAATGAAAACTATTACTAAAAACTGGAATGATCATATTCAAGTTTACACTAATCATCATGACTGTTAACATACCAATGCTCCTTCATGAAAAGAACATTTCTTAAGCTTAATCTTGCTATATCCAACCCTTATTTTTAAGTCAGGTAGAAATTTATTCTATTTTATATAAGCTTAGAATATTCTAAAAAAGAAAATGAGTCACATGAACACAACCTTTAAGTTCATAATATACTTGTTTTGGTACTACTACTCTTTTCTACTAGAGAAACTATTTTAAACATGACTGACTCTTGTTTATAAAACTCAAGCATCTGTAAGTTGCATTGAAAATTAAAGATCTCTGTAAATATAATTGTTTTATCTTCTAATGTTTACATGGATTACATGATGCTTAATTGGTGGGCTTTGAGATGCACAGTTTGGACTGCCACAGGACAGGACAACTGTAATTGCCCTAAACTAATGATTCACCAACTGCATATATGGGCCTTTAATACTGTGTCACCAACTTCAGAAAACAGCTGTGAGAAGAGTCTGAAGGTTAATGGTCTGTGCTCTGAAATTTTTGATGATTCTGAAGGACTACATGCATGAACACATCCATTCTTCTGTCCCAATAATGTATTATTTTACAAGCATACTGTAAATCACTGTGCTACTA